CCGTCCCCTGTGGGCTGTTATTCGATTATCGTCTTCAAAGGCTCGCGCCGTGGCGACAAACCGCCGCCGAAGCGTTTATTTGGCGTTGATCTTATGCGGAATCGTCGCGAATGGTGATTCTGTGGTGCTGATTGAGTGGGTGGGGCGTGGGCGGCTCCGTTTTCAGAGGACTGCGGGTGGGCGGGCAATGGTGGTCAAGCGGACAAGTGTGGATCGGTTTTCTCACTGTATTTTGTGATGGCTAAAAACAGACTGGCCTTTCAAAGCATCTCCCAACTTTTCTCCAGCTGCACGATTCATTTATGGTTTATATAGTGTACGGTTATGACGTCAGGAATACGTCACTGACCCTCCCACCTCGTACGCCGCTGAACTGTGCGGTGGGTGGGCGCGGGCCGCTCACGGCGGTCCAAGACGCCCACCAGTCTCTGCCGACTCCCGAACTACGGCAAGGTGTGTCGACCGAGTTGGTTCAGAAGTTTGGCTGCGGGCTCAGCTGGCGCCAACTTCTAACGGCGATGGAACGATATTTCCAGAGGGATTGGCTGTTTCTGTTTCCTTCCCAGCGGGGAAAGGGCTGTCGAATCATGCATAGGATATACAAAAAAAAACAGCGTATGTTAGGTACATAATTTCATTAAATCAGGGTCACATTTGATTCAGTCCGTAACGCCATTCAACGGGATCTCACGAACTGCCCTTATGAAGAAACATGCATGCCTTACTTCCCACAGCAGTTTTTATGGAGCAATCATCCACCTGGCATATCGTATCAGAGAGCATGTTGTTATCCTTTCTTTGATCCCTTTGTGACCTTTTACATCAAGCGGGGTGCCGACGCAAATGAGGGTCTGGGTCGCTGGCTGCGACCGCTATTGTAGCCAAACTTTGGCGCGGCACGGCCTGAAGTTTGCCACGCCCAGTCGACAGTGGCTGGATAGCCGGGCGGCTCCGCTCGCTCTGCCAAACGGTGGAGATGGGCGGGGGAGCAGGCAGCTGTTCGGATGAAACGGTGAGGAATTGGGTATCAATTTGTGAGAGGAGACATGTCCCAAAAATATACTGGAATTAAAATTGTGACTCCTAACTGCACTAGAGCAGGCGTAGGTGGTAGGTGTTTCTAATGTCATTAGAAAGGCGATTACCCTCGCATGTTAAACGCACTCACGCAACCGCTCCTGAAACTACTCACTTTCACCTCTCTGTTTCTCTGTGACCCTGGTGACCCCTGGCGGTGACCCCTGCTCTCCTACAGCCGCACTTTCCGACTCCTCTCTCCAGTCTCATCGCCTGAGGCCTGTGATGAAACCTGTCGCCAGAATCGATCAATTTGTAGCTTTAAGAGGGGAGACAGCATCCGCTTTGTGGCCTTCTCATTGCTATCCCATTCCACTCTTTATCCAGTATCCAGCAATCTGCACGCCTTTTTCTGGCTCCGTTTTCCGGCCGTGGTGTCGGCTGGCGTCCCTTTCCGCTCGATTTGTTTGTTTTTGCGTCCGACGTTATTTCCGTTGGGAGCTCGGTGAGCCGGCGGTGCTCCTCTCCACAGGGGAGCGCCATATCCACCGTCCACCGTCCACCGTCCACCGTCCACCGGCCCCCCTCTCGTACCTGTCCCCCACAGCGTCAGTGACCGGCGCCGCGGGGCTTTAATCACGGCCGAGCTGTCCTGCGGCGCAGTGCTAGTCAAACCGAGCCCAGCACTGGTCAAACGGAGCGGCCGGCTTCAATCGCGCCCGCGGGCACACACCGACCGTGATTGGGTGCGGCGGTGATGGCGGTAAACGAACGGTATTGAGAGGGACGGCTCTGTCTATTGCATGGAGCCGATGCGCTGGTGGTGGCTCGCTATCGGGCTGTGGTCAGTAACGCCGGGTTTAGAGTCTCGGGGGTAGTATTTTAGCGTGCGGGGCTGCGACATGGCGCGGTGAGTCGCCATAGATCAACCCATGCATGACCTTTGGGTCACAGAATGACACCGCCTAGTCTCGTCAGTCGCCAAGCTAGCGAGCCAGCCCACATTAGTGCACAGGGCACCGAGTCACGAATTTATGCACCTCACACGCCACACGAAAGTGACACTATGCACCAGCACGGTCACCCAGCACCCCGCTGCACTGCGGACGCATTATGTCGGTGCAGTGCGGCTCGGTGGGAGCGGCACGGCTGTTCGAGGCGGTGCGCGCCGATAGGAACCGGCCGGCCGTGCCAGGCGGTACGTCGCGTGTCCTGTCCGGTCCGCCGTCGGCACCGGCACGGCGCGGCACGCAGCGGGTCACAGGACCGTGGCACGATGGGAGGCAGGCGTGGCCGACTTGATGGATGTTGGACGAAAACATATACGAGAAACGTACCGACCCGACAGGGTACGAGGTCAGTCACGGTGGCACATGACTCTGGGTGTATAACATGAATCAAACTACCACTCCCCTCCCGGCGCCGTCCCGACCCCTTCTCGCCCCCTGGCAACCCCACCCCGCCCCAGTCCCGGCGGGGGCCGGCCCCAGGGCGGCCACACATCATCGGGGACACCTTTCTGCGGAGGACGATATCGAGCGACGCGATGACCGATGGCGCTGACTCGGCACGGCCCCGACGCCGCAACAAAGCCGGCCGACGGCCCGCGTCGACGGTCGTCGATTTGTGGACGGCAGCGGCGCGTCGGAGCGGCGACGTCTGCTCGCCGTCGCCGCCGGCGCTATGTCGTTAGTCACGGACCGACAACTGGTTTTGTGCGTCGCCGCGGACGCCGGACATCGCGGGAGAAAGGATGGGTGGTCGAGCCGGACTCGGGCTTTCAACGCAACCGGAGCGATGGTAAAGTGTGAGACAAAAAGGATTACAAGAAGTCGCGTGATTGAGTTCATTTGTGGAGAGAATGGATGAGACTGAGCAGATAGGTAGATAGGATTGATTTTAATCATGCCCTGATGGTCAATTGAGGTGGGTGGAGCCAAGATTACTTTACTACGGTGGAGCAACAGCTCGTCTGTTTGTGATCCTGACCGAATGGTAGCATCATCTCTAAACTGAACGCATCGACAGCGAGTGCAGCATCTCTCAGTTACACCAGATCATTGGTAGACAGCGCTGGATGTAGTGACGTAGATCGACAGTGAAACCCAATATGCATCCAGGCCGTCTGTTTTCGCGGCAGACGGGATGCATTTCTCCATTCCAAGAGCCGAGAGAGCGAGTGAAGCCGTTCTCGTCGCAGGGCGGCGTCTCCTTAGCTCCGGGCGTCGAGTGTGTTTTGCCGATTGCCCTGGCACTCCAGTCAACTCGAGACGGCGGCAGACTTGACGGAAGGCGTGCCTGACTGGCGCGCGCGCTGCGGAAGGTGGCTCCTCTCTCGCGGGACGGGGTGGTTGTGTTTTTATTCTAACTGCTGCAGGCCCCACGGCGGGGTTCTTCATCGAATGGGATAAATGGTTTTGCTGAAAGGTGGTTGGAAGATATTCCTGGTTTGTTGTTGTTTGAGTGAGTGCAGTCGTCGGGAGAGCTGCGCTTGATCCGATATCAATGTGATTACCTGCGATGGGCAATTCTGTAATCCGATTATGCGATATTTGTCATGCGGTTGATATGGATTTCTTGCGACACACACAAGGACGTTTTCTGGCCGGACGAACATCCACTTTTTTGCCCGAACGCCTCCGCCGGTAAACAGCATTCAGTTGGTTGGTATTCTGATACAGGTGAATTTCTTGAGGCTGATCCAAACTATTTCAATATGTTGTGGACGCGTTTGTTTTGCTGTACTAGAACGCATCCAAAGTTTGATAGTTTTGGCGCAACTGCGCTAAATATGCATTCTATCGTCTGCTTGGCAAAATAAGGCACTTTTTACGTGCAGCACCGATTCGAAAGGAATGTCCTCTCGCTTGCATCGGAATTTGGAATGATTTGTTTGCTTATCGTTCTGCCTTCTTCACGGCTTCTTGAGATGAGGTTGCAATTTGCATGGGCACTTTTTATAGTGTTATAGCTGAGGGCCTGAGACTGTGTCTTTGATTGTGCAATTTCGGCATATCACAGGCTAGTGACGTAGCGGGTCGTGTCGTCAGTTGCGTCACGGAAGTCACATGCTCGCTTTTCACCGTGATTTGTGCTAAAAAAACTGCCCTAGGCGCGGGTGGGGGATGACTCGGCCGTTTGAGTGAGGTCGCGGGATGCCTGCAATTACTATTGTTCCTCCGCTGTTGCAGAATCATCATGAATTTGTTGGTCAAACGTTGAATAGAATACGTTAAGTAAAATTAAAGAAATGTGCGCGTGTTCGAAAATCGTGTGACGCTGTGCAATAACGTTCATGACGTAACATTTTGTTTATCGATGCAAAACCTGAAGCTCCTGTGGCTGCGCTAATGGGGTTCCAATGGGACTCCTACTTTAGCTATGGGGCTCCTACTCTAGCAGTTTCCTTTTTTTAGCGAATTTACCGGCGAACTGAACCCCGAGCCCTATTTCACACTGAAATATTTCGCGAGTTGGGTGTCTCAACTTTCTCCTGTTAACCTTTCACGAGGCGTGAGCGCAGTTGCTGTTCCCTCTGTCGCATCCGTCCGCCGGGGCCAGCCAAAGTTGGCCGGACTTCGGTGGCCAGTGGGAGTTCCGGAGCAGACCCACACACACACAAACGGAGAGTCCCAGCAGGATAGGTACACTGTCATTGATCAACCTGCGATTTAGCGTAGGAATTAAGCGAGTTTGGTTGGTTAATTCGATAATTACCGAGAGTCTCATCCCTAGCCTCGTTTCATTCAGCACTTCACTTCTACCGTTACTCATCCATGACCGTTACTAACTACCGTTCGTGCATGACGGGCATCCATGTTCGCACAAAGTATCCCTGAACGTGATTCAATGAGTGATTGTTATTGATCAGCGTGACCACTTTCTTCATTCGCAACCATTACTTGCATCCTCGTAATACCGGTGTTTGTATGCCTTGTTCAGTATTCAGTTGTCCTCACGGTGTTTATCCCTCTGTTTTTCAGCTACCGGACGGCGTCGAACTGACTCTCTCGGAGCTGCGAGAGATGGCCGGCAGGCAGCAGCAGCAGATTGACGACCACCAGCAGCAGCTGGTGGCCAAAGAGCAGCGGCTCAAGTACCTCAAACAGCAGGTGAGACCGGCGGTGGCAACGTCACCTGGTTAGCTTGAGGCCGCTAGATGTCACTAGTGGTGTGCGCCTGCAGGTATGCTGTACCGCCGAGCGTCTACCCAACCCTTGCTGCGGCCACTCCAAGCAAAATTAGTGATGAGATGCTCCTACTTTGGATAGGTAATGGGTGAACTTGAGACAATAAAAGCTGTTCTTGCATGAGTATATCATGTATATTTCACAACAGCCATATTTCCAGCAAGTCAGGAATTTGACTATCGCTGCGCTCATCAATACACCGCAGCCAATTTAGTTGGACCGTGGATGAGCTGGTAAAGAAAGGCTGAAGCATATCGTAAGCTTTGAAGGGGCTATCTAGTATCCTCAGAGCTTTACTGTGCAGTAAAGGCGATGTCGGTAGTTTCCAAAAGCGAAAGGCTCGTAAAACGCCTGAAGCCTACCCCGGAGAAATATTATCGCTGTAGGAACCAAGCAGTCGGCTTCGTCCGTCAAGTGGATAATCCTAGTAACCATACAGCAGATAGTTTTATAATAAATGACATTTTACACATATTTTTTAACTTTCTAAGGTGGCGCTCAACTCATTGTGTTCTGCGTCGAACGCCAATTTTTTTTCTGCGATGTACCGACTGTCCCAAGTCCCAACCGTTCCGTCTGTCTCGTTCATCCCAACCCGTCCCGTCCGTCCGGCCATTCACATTTCTTTTCTGGCCGTCGCGCCGCGTCTGTTCCCGGCTCGCGCTGGTCAGTAACTCATCGCCGATGAGATTTACGACTTTTCTGGGCCTTTTTGCCGGTCTGGTGCGGCCCGCCTCAGGTATTACCGGCTATCGCACGGATCAACGGCTAAGACGGCGGCGGCCGGCGCAGGATAGTGGAGAATAGGTGATCGTCGATACCGGATCACAATGGGGATTGTGCCCCCTGCACGGGCGCAGGAAATGAACGGCGGTGACGGAAAACAGTGGCGGCCCGGCCCGGGGCGGCGGTTTGTGGCGGGTCGCGGCCGGTCCTATACTGTCAGCCGCTCAGAACGCGTCTCTCAGAGTCGCAGCCGATTAACTAAGCCACTTTGACGGGCTGCGGCTGGCAGACGGGGCCGGTACGTGCGTTATTGTGGTGCTGAATATGCACTGCAGTGAAGTGGTACCGCGGCGCCAATATCCGCCCGCACGATACAATGGTGAAGGTCACACCGCGTTGAATCAATGGCTCTACTGCTTGGTCGATGCAGCAGTGAAACATTTGTATCATTGATCGCCAGAAGAGTCGTGCATATGTGGGACGTGTCCCTGCCTTGTGGGTCGATGAGGTTTGACCTTGACCTGGTGTTATTCTGCGTCAATTTCCATCGCTGTGCATTCTGGGTAACATCTGCCGCGGACGGAATGGGGCGGATGTGTCATTTTTGTCGCACTCGATCTGATAACGTTGCGCGGCAGCGACCGGATTGGTTGCTGAGGTTTTATATTAGTGTGATTAGGGTGCGTGAGCCACGGTAACGAAGATTCCTCTGTCAGAGGGCGTTGCCTGGCGTGCGGCGGAAAACTAAAGCGGGCGGGCACTCTTAATTAAAGTCTAGGTGCACGAATGCTCATCAGTTTTGTGCTTATGTGTTTAGAGCGATTTCTAATATCACTTTGCATTTCCTATTGCTGTACATTGCGCATCTGTCCAATCTCCATGTAAATTCTTGAACATGTATAGTTTTGTTTCAAACGGCCGTTGTTTTCCATCGGATTTATTTCTGACGGGCTCGTTTTCTCGACTCTGGCGACCCCGACAGGCGTTGTGTGGCCTGAATTGCCGACAATGGCGGCACTCAGTGCAGCTTTGTGTCGCATCGCTGTTTCACGGACTGCAGCTTGTATGGACGGGCTGTTCGTCTGTCTGGCTGTCGGCACCCAGCAGCGAACAGTTGTCCCGAATCTCTGGCCAGGACAGCCGTCTCGGACATGTGTCCGCGGGGACCGCCGGCCCCGGGTCACAGTGACCGCGACCCTGGCGGTCCGGTGCCGCTGTCGGCGCCGACGCCGTCGGCGACTGATATTGGGTGCGACTGTCGCGGCCGTGACGGAGCGGCGCCGGTCCGGTCCGCGCCCGGCCGTAGCCGAGCCGTAGCTGAGCCGTAGCCGAGCCGTAGCCGAGCCGTGGCGGGTCGTAGAGCGGCCATGCACGAGTCGTATGGCTGTGATGTATGGGCTGCTTTGGCCGGTGATAGCCAATCGTTAGCCAATCCATGGGCCGTTGGCGAAGCTCGATAAGCGGCCACCGGTGCTGGTGCTGGCGCGGCCGCCCTGCGTCTGGTCTGGTCTGGTCTGGTCTGGGTCTGGTCTGGGTCTGGACTGGTCTGGTCTGGGGTTAGGACGGAGCGTGTCTGGTCTGGGTCTAGACGGACGACTGACAGAGATGCTGCTGCGCCTGATTAGAGTCAGTGTATCGAGGCAGGTCGCAGGCCTGTTGCCAGTCTCGGCTAGTCAATTCCCTCTCCACAGCCCAGGTGCGGACAGACCGTTGGTGCACCGTCGTCTCCGATGTTGACACGGACTGATGGCCGTTGTGGTTGTGGTCCAGGCCAATCATTCTGTCTGCCGCTTTCCCTCGTCTTCTGCTCAGAGCAATCCGATTACCGTCAGTGCGGGCGGCGGGATGGCAATGTGCTATTCACGGGGTATGTGCTGGTGGCACTGTCCGCATCACCATTCACCGGCAACTTGAGGCTGATGGTTTGTGAATCAACTAAGGAGCTTATTTGCAGAGCTTCTGAAGGTAGTTTTGCGGTGACATGCAAATATGGATGAGATATTCAGCGTGGTTTACTGTTATTTGCCACCGTGCTACCACTGAAAAGGCAGAGCATCTGTGAGAAAGAACTTTTCAAGAAATCCTAGATCGGTTTTGCATGGCTCATCAGACTGGAATTGGCACAAATTCCAGCCGTCGTTTTGGACTGGCATTCGACAGAAGTCGACCGTTGAATAGCTCCGCGGCCGTGACATCTTATTGGGCTACCCAGGAGGTCGGGCTTTCTCTTCGATTGGACTACAGCATCAAAGCCGGGAGATCGAATAATGAAAAGGTAGCTGAAGAAAGGAACTGCGAAGTGGCTTGGATGGTATAGCTCAGGCTTATATCGCCTGGATATTTCATTTGTCATACATTTTGAGTCACTGAATCACAGTAGATCCCGTTTATATCTGCTGACGCCTGGTTGATCTAACCAACATGGACAGTATCGACTTGCCTTCATCTACCAGCTCTGCGCTGTGTGTGCACAGTGTCAACTGTTTTCCTTTTCGACAGGTAAAACAATGGCTGCGAACCGCTCGGCTGCGTGCCGGTGTGTGTATTTTTCACCGTCTGATCACGTGTGACGCGGCCGCTGACGGAGGCGCCGGTCGCAGGAATGCCGTCGATCCGTGCTGCAGTTGTTAGTCCTGCGTGTCGTTCGCCACCCAGCTCATGTCGTGACATTTTCCCGTCGACCGGCGCCCGATTAGCCCGGTCAGCGCGAGTCCTTTCTATTTGCGCGGCGCTGCTGCACAACTTTCCGGCGATAACGCCGCCGCTGACGGGGGCCGTCGCTCGGCCCTGGCACGCTCTCACAGCGGCGCCGCTCCGGCAGCCTTTGGGTCGCGTCAGTCGAGCGGACTTCATGGCTCGTTTCTGCCTCGTGCCGCTGTGGGCGGGCGGCGGTCGGCCGGCGCTGGAGCGGCTCGCTGCTGTGTCTGTACGATCGGTGTGATTTAGGAGACGGTAAAACGTCCACCGGCGCTGACAGAGAGTCGCACCGATCGTTTGAGGACGAGCCCCGGCTGGACACCGCGGGAGGTGCTGTGGGGATGCTGGCAATGGTGGTCGGTGGAAGGGTACTGGGAGGTTATGGTGCCGGTGAGAGGAGTCACGGGTCGGTAAATGTTCCTGGAAAATCGAGAGGGTGACCCAGAATACCACCTGTTCTTGGACTGGCCATACTGACGGATTATTGCGGCGAATGGAGCTCGTGCAGTGAGCGTGAGTTATTTGCGTTCCATACAACCCTATAATTTAGTAACTGCAGGCAAGTTTGCTTGGATTGAACGAACTACGCGCAAGAGTGGTCTAGCCAAGCGTCATTACTGTCAGTTTTAAACATGTCAGCTAATGCTGTCCATACAACTTGGCGAAATATTTGACGGGCTAATCTTCCACCGCGGTATCCTGGCTTCTGCTGAGACGGACTTGGCATTCTGAAACGCTCAACATTAATCACAGCGGGATTAAATAATTTCTGACGGCGTGAATTTCATGTCGGGGGTTGGCCGCTCTGCGGTCTCGGTCGACGGAGACCATTTGTTACCGGCGCTGTACGCCGCGCGTGGCAAGAGAGCCCGGAGCGGTACCCACGCTTCGACAGAATTAACTGGTATAAATAAACAACTTTGAGCCGGGGAGCATTGATAGAGAAGTGAGACTGGTAAAGACTGGAACGTTACTATGACAGACATTACAAATACACATGATACCATCCCTCACTTAATTACGATCTATGGTAATCTGACCAACAGAGATACGATTTGGCTACGCGTTTACATAGCATCTATCTGATACGGTATAGTTCTTGCTAATACACTGCGGGAAATGACAATGCTGCTATGCAGAATGACAACTGACCCAATAAATCTGCAGCAAGGACGGCCATTCTCGCTGATCGGAGTATAATTCACCGGTGGGGACTGATAGTAAATAAATCACCGGACAGCCGATATCTGGTCGAGCCCGGGAAGAATTGCCCTCCGGAGGACGGACATTTCAGAGTGATCACTGTAAAACTGGCTCGATTCCGCGCCCTGCAGAGTCCCGGGCAAAGGCTGCGGCCGGCTTTTATGGCTAATGAAATGCCAGAGAGGATTCTTCCTCTTCCTGCGAGGCCGCTGTCGAGTCGGCACGAGACGGCTTACTCGAACGAGTGGTCGTCTCTAGGGTAGAAGACCTGAGGCGCTTGCTAGGACGCCGGAGCTCACGGACTGGCTCATGGGAGGGTGTTACGGCTGGAATAGTTAGCTTTTCGTGTTTTTATTTTTCAGGGATAAGAGCAAATCACCATAGGTTCTTAGTTATTCGTAGTTGATAAGCAGTTAAGCATTGTTGAGCGATTCCGCTTGTTTTGTGTGCACCATGTCCCTTACCAAATCATTTTCCCTCGCCGACTCACCACTTCCCCCAGCCATGTGACCGGATAGCTGACCGGGCTGTGACCCTGGCTATGACCCACCGACCCAGCGACTGACCTGACTGTGACCTGTGTCCGCCAGGAGAGCCGCCACCAGGCGATGAACTCAGAGACGGAGCGACTGCGCCGGCTGCGGGAACGGGTCGAGGCGCAGGAGCTGAAACTGCGCAAACTGCGGGCGCTGCGCGGTCAGAGCGAGCAGCAGAGGGTCAACAACAACGCACTGAGTGAGTACCGCACACATCCACGGCTGCTGCTTTCGGTTTATGTTGCTGTGACATGAAAAAAATGCAAGGTACAGTGTCAAAGAAAAGACATTTCTGTGAGTAATTCCTGGAATAGTTAAATGGAATCGATGTAAAAAAAAATACATTTGCGTGAACAATTGGAGTCTGGTCTTCTAGTTACACGATTTCGTCATGAGCCATTCCCGCTCGCCGCTGGCTCCGATGCCTCCGACTGCCGTCCACCCTGCTGTCGCGGCTGTCGGACGGACATCGGTCGCCATCCATTGTCCTGTCCGCTGTCCGTCGGTCGCCGTCAACACCCGACTGGGCCGTTTTTGTGGACCTTCTTGAAGGGGTTCGTGTCGCAGAGGTCGTGTCGTTGAACCGTGAAGGCCCCGTGAGCCCACCAGTTGATCGTGTCCGTTCGTCCTGACATGTCGTCTGTTCGTCACGGAAGGTCGCCTATTCGTCTCAGCTGGTCGTCGGTCGATCTTAGACGATCTTGTACCCCTTTCGACCCCGGTCAAATGTCGGTGACAGTCGACAAGTGACCGTCAGAAACTGTCGGTGGCAGATATCCTATTCCTGTGGCAACGCTATGACGTTCAACAGACCAAGTCTGACCCCGCAGGCGGCGCTCCGACGCTCGAACTCCTGAAAACGACGGCTGAGAGCCGCATTGTGGACGTCGATGACAATGGTGCTCGTGGCAGATGGCCGACCGCTCAAGACAGCCATTTGGAGGGATTTCAAAGAATGGTGCTCATGGCATGTGGTGCCTATGCTAGAGCTCCGTATATCCCCCTGGCGGCTCACAGCTCGCAGCTCAGCTCACACGTTGGCTCCACTATATATCCGGCCATCATTTACAACCCCATCGTGCGCGCGAGGATGATGAACGACCGTCCTCTGTCTCCGAGAAGACACTCACTCCAAAGTCATATCAGCATACCTCTGGCGACACGAGTAGCCACCAGCGGACCTCTGCGCCGGTTCCAATTAAAAGTTGAATGTCTGGGGAGCTGCGGCGGAATGGCTAATTACTCGGCCGGCCGCGTGACCCGGCCGAGGAGCGTGGTACAGCGCGGCGCGAGCCCGGGTCACAGCCGCCTCCTCTGGGACGGCCGCTGTGCGAGCGGCGAGAGACCCGAGCTGCACGCGCCGCGGCGAGAGGCGCCTGCTCGGCGTCTGACGATCCAATAACGACTTCCCGACGCGCGTGGGCCGCACCGGTCGCCTGTTGTTCGCCGCCGCCGCCGATGCAGGTCCCGTTATTAATTACCGACTGCCTGTGTGGCCCGGTGGACGGAGGACGGACTCGTTCCCACGGATGGCTGCCGGCCTGTGTTACCATCTGAGGCTGTGGAGTGATTGCTGGCTGCGTAACTGATCCATTCCGGGCGGGGTTTCTGAAGTGAACTCTTGTTTCACAGTGAGTCTACATCTAAGCACTATGTAACCATTTCCCTACGAACTAGCAGTTAGTTTGTTACCACATATCACTCATATACGATTTATTGTCATTGGTAAATCTGTTAGGCCATTGCCGGTGATACTAACTGTCGTTTATTCAGCTGTGATTTGATTAAGCAGCTAATTCCACCTGCTCACTGCCACCTACATGAGTGGCAGATTCGGCAATTGCAACGTATGTATGGGGATGATCACTACCAATGCCTAGAAACCAGTGCCCGCAGCTTCGACACACGGCCGCATCGATAGCGGCGACGGTGGAGCGAGAAGAACCACTCTGATAACCAGTGGGGAAGGCGGGGCAGGGACGGCCGAGGGGCGAGCGGTGCCGCTGCCGGGCAGAGTCTGAAGTGAGGAGCTGTGTTCGTTCAGGCGCGCTGACGGCGACACTCCACAGTCCATTTCTTGTGGAGAGCCCCGGAGGTGTTGGCGGTGCTATATTGACACCGTCTGAAGAGCCGGACGGACGGACGCTCAGACTGGGCGTCTATTGAAAGAGGCGTTCACTGTTACAGTGCTCCAGGAGCCTCTGGCTCGCCGAGGACACGTGTCCGGGCCCGGGCGTCGGAAATTACGCGGCCGTCAGCGGTAAGATGAATGGTGGCAGCTCTGGGCCCGGGCAGCGCACATATGCAGAATATCCGGCCGGGCCGCCAGCTCTGTCCCGGGCTGATTGGATGGCCGAAAAATGGCCACTGGCGGCCGCTGAAGGTGGGAAGGTGTGTCTGACGGGTGAGATCGACCGCGAGCGACTGCGCCGCGGGGATCGCCCGCAGCCGTCTCAGGAGCCCGATCTCGACTTGTCGCCGGCCGCTCCCGGGCCGAGATCGGGAGACGGCGGCGTCAGTTGGCGAGATATCGGAGATTTGGAGCCGATCAGAGCCGAGAGATTCATGGCTCGGCGCTCCGGCTCGGACGGTATGGCCGCGCTGTCTCTGGAATTCGGTCCTAGATGGACAGCCGATGGTTCCGCCGCGCGCCGGGACGGTAAAACAGAGAGGACCGACAGGCCGGCATAGTTATGTGCCCGCTTTATAAAACGACATCCATGTTAAGCTTTTATCGCAGCGCGTGAGAGATTGTCAGTCCGGATAAAAGCCCTTGAGTGGTGTTTTATTATTCATAGATTAGAATCGACGCTGGGCTGAACAATCGAGGGATCAAAAAGTCGTTTCCGGCGACAAACAGCTAGGTGTCCTTTGTTTTTGGGTGGTCGGCGCTCTGGTTGAACGCCAATGACATTTTAATGGACTACACGCGTTTTCGCAGAGCAAATGGACACATTCACACAAAACAATGACTGTGTGTACCAAATAGGACAAGAACGCAGTCTTGGAACCACTATATATTTCAGTTAAGCGTTTTTTTGGCTCCAACAGTACCACCAGTTCTGGGACCGGTATCAATCATGGTAGAGGCTGGACACGAGGCCCAGGCTCGACGAAGGCTTCGCACGCCTGAACGTCCGGTCGGCATTTAGTCGGTCGGCCCGCGTGTCGTCCCGCCTCAGAGTCGCCCGGTCCGCCTGTCGCCCCGCCTCAGAGTTGGTCCTGTCGTTCGGCCCGGCTAATCCGCCCGCCTGCAGTCGCGGCGGTCAGAGTTATCGACGCGGTAATGTATCGGCCGGCCACTTCGGCAAAGTTTGCTGCATCCATTATTCATTCGATGCAAATGGGCGGCGATTTGCTCCGAGGTGACCCCCAGTGGCCCGGCTGGCACGGCCGTCGAGAGCCGCTCGCCGCCGTAATGGGACATTGATTGGACCAGAAGACGGGTTCACTGTCTGGCCGACCGCATTGCAGTAACTGGTCAGTGTTAATTCGAGGAGGAGGATATAATATGGTGTATACTGTATATAGTGTGTATAAAATGAGATCCTGTTTTACACGTCTTGGTAAATGCTCATATGCAGAAAATTATAGGATGAATCTGAATTCATTTGACTAGCTTAATTTCAGCCAATCAAATTCAATCACGGACAGGAACCAATCTCATTTCAATAGACAAAACCCCACGCTGAAGCCCGCCGCGCCGTTCCGAGCCAGAATAGCCGACTGGCTGCGTGTGTGGCCCCTGGGGGCGTGCTGGTGGCGCGAGGAACCGATATCGCTGTCGGTGACGGCATGACCTTCTGGAGTCGATACCCAGCCGCTGGCGACGTATCGACAAACCGACCCGCATCGGCCACAGGGTATCGCGATTCCCACATCGCCAGTGGCGGGGCGGAGGGGTGTTCGTCGTTCACACGTCATCGGTCATGGACAGCCAAACGGCGTCAGTAGTCAGTTGCGTCAGTGTCAGCCGTCAGCTGCGTCAGCGGGCGACTGACGTCGGCCGAGCAGCAACTCGAGTCGGTCCTGACCTGACCTGACCTGACTGCAGCAAAAGACAGTAGCTCGGGTCGGTCCTGACCTGACCTCACGGCACCAGTGAACGGCAGCTCGGGTCTGTTCTGACCCGACCTGACGGCAGCCGGCGGCGGGCGGGGAGCAGACGCCGCTGGCTGCCGTCCACCATTGATTACTGTCGCCGCCAGCCGCCGGAGCGGTGTGCCAGCACGGGCGGCGTGACTACCCGAGGGCGCCGCCCCCGCCCCCGTCCCGGCGGCGGCCACAGAGGCCCGACTGTGCGTCAGGGATGAGACCGCCGGCGCCGCTCTGTCTGCCCCGCCAATGTCGCCGACCCAGACAGGCCGCGGGGGTGACAGCGGGGGACGGGGTGGCACCCGCAACAACGGCAACAACAACCATGGCTGCGTCAGACATCCGCGACGGCACCGGAAACGACATCGGATACAGCCGGAAGCGATCATCGGTAAAGTACACAACTAAACCACAAGTTGAGAGATCGCCGGCTGACCGGCCGATCAGCTGGCCGGTTCCCGTGAAGTCGGCGGCCGTCGAGCCGTGACCGACCGAGTGGTGGGATGTGCTCCAGTGGCTCGGCCGGATGTCGTTCGGGCCCGACGGCAGAGCGGAACAGAGCGGTAGTTACAGTCCCTCCGGGCCTCCGTCCGTGTCTCCGTCCATCCGTCGGTCCATCCGTCTGTGTGTCCGTTCGTCTGATTTGGGACCTTGGCGGCGAACGTTGTAGCTGGTATGGTGGCGAGTGGTAGTGACGGTGACTGCGAGCGGGACAAAAGGCTTCGAGATTGCGTGCGGGAATGTTTGGCCGCTCCCAAAGCCGGCCGGATGACGGAGGCCCCTGTGTCGGTCGCAGACGGCGGCGGCCGATAGTGTCACGTGGTGCTCGTGTCGCGTGCTGCTCCGTGCTGTAGGGCGCTGGCTGGCTCTTTAGTTGACTAATCTCTTTAGTTGCCCCTTGATTGCTGTCCTGGCCCGTCATCCCCACGTGCGATGGTGCGGTAGCGTTTTCACTACCATCTCGGCTATCTCCTTGCGTGTCTTGCAAGCGATGCATCTTCTTTTCGCGACGTCGTCAAAGGAGCGATTGGCGACGGAAGTAAGCCGATCCGGTGCCGCCGAATCGGCGAGAAGGACCGGATCTGCGGCCCGTGGCGCGGGACC